GGCAGACCCGAAGATAAAAACGAACCTTTCCGCACCGCTCGCGGAAGGAAATGACCAACAACGACTTTTTATAAATGTTAGGGCAGAAAAGACTTACAAGACAAATTTAAAAAGCAATGTAGTATCTATACAAATATCTTCTTTTGTTTTGATTTTTAGGGAAGGGTCTACAGGATGTTCAGGGTCTCACTACTAAATCGGACTCGTGGTGATCCACCTGTTTACAGCCTCCCAAGAGCTGGGATTACAGGCGCGGGCCACCATGCCCAGTATCAACTGCCATCTCCGCGCACCCTGGGGGCAGGCCTGGCAGGCAGGCCCAGGGATCGGACCCCCTCCCCCCGCCTGCTTGCTCATGCTTTTATCTGCTATTTGGCTGGCCCATCTATACAAATATTTTTAACACAACAAAGGAAAAAATTATTTGTCTCACATGAAGGGTCAATTTCCCTAATTCCCTCTGTGACTATTTAAAAATCACAAAAAAAAAAAAAAAAATCACTAAGAATAAGAAAAAAAATTGTAGGACCACCCAGATAGCTCAGTGGATTTTTTTTTTTTTGAAGGTTTTAATTGTACTTTATTTCTTCAGTAGGCTATATTTTAATGGATACACAGCACTTTTACTTGGCATCAATTATGATTTCATTTAGAAATAATTTAGCTGTATCCTATCAGCTGGCATGATTCCGTATCTCTCCATTCCTTGGGGGTGACCTGCCAACAGGGGAAAAGTTCCATTCTATTCCAATTTGTGTTGCTGTGTAGGTCCACGCAGCAATACAGAATGGGGCTCTACCCACTAATAGAGCATTACCATAGTTGTCGTGGAAGTCGGGTGTGCGTTTCTGGTGGCTCTGCCTTGCTACCATTTGCTGAATGCTCTGCACTGGAAAAGGACCTGATGCAGTTTTGGCCAAGGGGAACATCGTGGAGTTGAAGTTGAAACTGTAGTTACTGCAGCTGCCGGCTTGGTGCAAATTACTTCCAGATACCCTTGCAAAGAGAGCTCAGCGGATTAAAGCACCTATTTAGGCAGACACAGGGACCAGGGTTTGATCCCCAGAGTGCCATGCTGGCCCCACCCCTGGGGCACAGTGAGAGGGCGACTGAGACTAGGCGTGGTGGTGCAGGCCTGTAATCCCAGCTCTTGGGAGGCTGTAAACAGGCAGATCACTATGAGTCCGATCTAGTAGTGAGACCCTGAACGCCCTGTAGACCCTTCCCTAAAATACAAAATAAAATAAATAAAATTTAGAACTGGGAATGAACTTAGGATCTTAACATTAGGCTACAACCCTACCCAACCCCCTTTTTAATGGGGTCTTATTAAATTGATAAACTGCCCAGCTAGGGTGCAACCCATGACCTTCTTGACTCAGCCTGAGTGCTGGGATGAATCACAGCCCAGGCCTGTGCCACTGAGCCTAACTCAAATACTTTTTTTGGGGGGGGGTTCTTTTCGAGACAGGGTCTTGCTATGCAGTTCAGAGTGGCCTTGAGTTCACTTTGTAGCCAACACTGGTGAAACACACATCTTCCTGTCTCAGCCTCCTGAGGGCTGGGGTTACAGGTGTAGGCCACCATGACTAGCTTTCAAAGACATTTTTGAAGCTGTACAATGTCTACATGATGGAAAACCAGGAAGCAAAGCTACTTTACCTTGAAGAAACTCAGAAAGTATAAGGGACATTGTGAGGCCCAAAACAGGCTTGGTCCCACACGGTAGCACCCATCTATCGTCCCATCACTAAGGAGGCTGAGGCAGGCAGACCGCTCCAACATAGTGAGTTAGTGGTAGACAGTCCTACAGAGTGAGTTGAATGCTGGCCCGAACTACATAGCAAGGTCCCGCCAACAAAAGAAAATACCCTATTTGGCTGCCAGTGTGCATAAGAACTCAGACCCTCAGGTTCTGTCCCCAACTCCACATAGCCAGATTCATACACGGCTTAAGTATTTCTGCTAATGTACACACATACACACACACACACTTTCCACTGAAAAAGTGAATTTTTTTGTCCCTGGATTTTTTTTTTTAATTTTTTATTAATTTGTGTGTGTGTGTGTGTGTGTGTGTGTGTGTGTGTGGCAGCTCAGCCCACCAGGGGGCGGGGCTGGCTGGCATGTGGTGCTGGGGGATTGAACCACGGTCTCTCTGCTTTGTTAAGCTTGTTCTGAGTAGGTGCTTTAGCCATCTCACCAGCCCCTGTCCCTGGATTTGAACTCACTACTTTGTGCTTGCCAGGTAGACACTGTGCTGCTGAGCTATAATCCTAGTGAGAAAGTGAATTCTCAGTCTTCAAATATTCAGGTCGTTTACCAAGTGAGGAAGTGCCGATGACCGGCCCCACATGGTCAGGCCATCTTCACCCCTCAGAGCCCAGGCAAAGCTTGGGGAGAGGACTCGACACAAGTATTGTTTCTAGACTCAGAACTGCCACTTTCTGGGTCCTCGCATCAACATTTCTACATTCTCAGCTATGCGGCAGTTAATGCGGCAGTTAAGTTAGAAAATCTCCTGGACTAGTATTTTCGCTTCACCTTGTACCAGTCCAGGTATTTAGATACAGGATGACTAAATATTGCATATTTTTCATTCTTATAACAGGAAATACAAAATGACAATTTTATTAAATTTAATTTTTCTGTGTATAGAATCTCTTGTATAAGTATGGATGGCATATCTTAAAATATGCAGTAGGGCCAGGGCGATAACCCAGTGGTCTAAGCACCTGCTGGCAAGCACAAGAACCCGGGTTCGAGCCCCAGTACTGCGCGCTGTGGCAGCCTTGTGCCACGCTGACTACCAAAACTGGGCGTGGTGGCGCATGCCTACAACGCCAACACTGGGGAGGCTGAGCCAGGAGGTCGGCATGAGTCTGAGCTGTGTGGCAAGACTCTGTACCAAATAAATAAATAAATGATTAAAAAAATTTAAAACATTCGGTATACAATGCAACATTACAATCTAGTCTTTTTTTTTTGTTTTTGCGGAACCGGGGATTGAACTCAGGCTCTTGCGCTTGCCAGGGAAGTGCTTATTCCACTGAGCCATCTCCCCAGCCCCCTACAATCTAGTCTTTCCAAATTCTTTTTGTGTTACTGTCTTTGAACAATACACTGCACTGTGGTGTTAGCCTTTTTTTCTGTGGGGCTATAACTTCAATAAAATGTTTCCCCACTAAATGTAGTGGTGAATGGGGCCGGGGAGATGGCTCAGTGGAATATGTGCTTCCCTGGCAAGCGCAAGGGCCTGAGCTCAATCCCCGGCTCTGCCAAAAAACAAAAGAATAAATGTAGTGGTGAAGATGTTGATGATGTCTTGGTTGGCGTTTTTTTTTTAATTTTTTTTTTTTAACATTTATTTAGTGTGTGTGTGTGTGTGTGTGTGTGTGTGGCCAGCTCAGCCCACCAGGGCTGGCTGGCATGTGGTGCTGGGGGATTGAACCGCGGTCCCTGTGCTTTGCCAAGCTTGTTCCAAGTAGGTGCTTTAGACCACTGAGCCATCTCACCAGCCCCTTAAATTCTTTTTATTTATTTATTTTGTGTGTGTGTGTGGCCAGCTCAGCCCACCAGGGGGCGGGGCTGGCTGGCTGGCATGTGGTGCTGGGGATTGAACCGGGGTCCCTGTGCTTTGTTTAGCTTGTTCTAAGTATTGGTTGGCGTTTTGCTCTCCTATATTTTTCAATTATTTGGTCTAATAGACCTAATCTAAATTGGGCTTATTTTTTGTTTTTGGACCTAATCTAAACTGTAAATGACTTTTTGAACTTCCTTGTTTTTGTTTTTTTTAAACATTTATTTATTTATTTTGTGTGTGTGTGTGTGTGTGTGTGTGGCCAGCTCAGCCCACCAGGGGGCGGGACTGGCTGGCATGTGGTGCTGGGGGATTGAACCACAGTCCCTGTGCTTTGCCAAGCTTGTTCCAAGTAGGTGCTTTAGACCACTGAGCCATCTCTCCAGCCCGTTACATTTCACTAGAAATAAACATGGAAGGTGAATACAACATTTTAAATTAAGAAGCATGGAAAAAATCACCCATATAAAAGATACAGGAGTGTATCTTATGCAAGCAAGAATCGAGGGGATGAAATGACCCTGTGCATAAACAGGCCTCTGCACAAGGGACAAAGGTAAACTGCTCCGTGGCTCAAGGGTATCTCCAACTGAATGATATGAACACTTGTGGCTTGTCTTCACAGTCCAATCACATTATAAACATGCAACTTTCAAATGTCAGGTTCTCCTCAGAGAGAAAATGAAAGAAGTTGAAGGGCTGTGTGATGGCTTGTGTCCAATGTCCCCCAAAGCCACCTCCACTTATAGGTGGGGCTTGTGAGAGCTGCTGGATCTAAATTAAATGCACTGACTAGGACCAGCACACTTATGGGTGTGGCTGAACAGATTTACTGAAGACAAAGCCCCAACCTGGGATGGGTGGCACCACCCAAAAGGCTTGAGGCCTGCAGGGAATAGAAAGGGACAGAAAGAGGGCCAGCTCGCTGCTGTCGCAGCCCACCTGCCCTGCACAGACAGCTATCCTGTGCGGCCCCGCCTGCCCTGCCATGGACCATGGACCGGCTCTCCTTGCGGCCCCGCCTGCGGGCTGCCCTGCCATGGACCATGGACCAGCTCTCCTTGCGGCCCCGCCTGCGGGCTGCCCTGCCATGGACCATGGACCAGCTCTCCTTGCGGCCCCGCCTGCGGGCTGCCCTGCCCGGGAACCAGCCCACTACAGCCTGAAACCTCTACAGAGCCGGATTTGGAACGCACCTCTTGTCCTTCATCTTTGGGTGTCAGGTATTCATTCTGTCCCTACAACAAGTAACTAAGACAAGAGCCTACAGCTCAGTGGTAGTGGTTCCCTAGCAAGTGCAAAGCCTGAAGGTCAAGCCCCAGCCTCAGCACAAGCAAGGCAAGTGACCTCCAGACTTAGGAACCCATCTTCCTACAGTCCAACAAATAAATTTCTTTACACAATAAATCAATTCAGAGGCTGCAGAGCATGCAATGATGTCTTTTATTACACATAGGTTTTTATAATTCTTCAATCTCTCCGTACACAGGCAAAAGAGTACTGTTTAGCATACTGGAACTTGCAAATTTACTCACTGCCTACAAAGGGAAAATTATCCCCAAAGCGCGCTTAACCGGGAGGCCAGTGCATCTGCCGCCCGCCAAGTACGTGCAGGTGAACGTGATAGACGGACTGGCCCCCGTCTGTGCCTTCGTTCACCACCATTCGATAACCCTTGTTCAGGCCTAGGTCAGCCGCGCACTTCTTGCCAACGATCATTAAATGTCCAAGAAGCTGGAAAAGAAAAGCAGTTTCTTCAGCACAGGCAATTTATAACTCTTGCTATTGACAGTCAATTTGAAATATCACAGTAAAAAACTGTCAAGTTGAAACACTGCATCCCAATGATTTATAATTACAATCTCATTAGCATTCAGTGTCTAACCCTTACTAGTTTCTCCCTTGCTCACTTTGTTTTTGATAGGGTCTTGCTACGTGGTGCAGGCTGACCTTGCACTCACAGCCAGCCTCCCGGCCAGGACTACAGGTGTGCACCATTAGGGCCACCGCGACTGCTTCACTCTCTCTTCACTTTTTTTTTTCCTTTTTTGTCTTTTTGAGACAGGTCTCACTAGCATTTAGGCTGGCCTTCAGCTCACTGTGTACCCAGGGTGGTCTCTCCAAACAATCCAGCCTTACCCGCGCCAGTTCTGGGATTACAGGTGTGTGCTACCACACCCAGCTTCGTTCTCTTTCTTTTTTCTTTTTTTTTTTTTTTGGTGGTACCCGGGACAGAACTCAGGACCTTGCACTTGCCAGGCAAGCATTTATTCCACTGAGCTATCTATCTCCCTGGCCCTCATTCTCTTTCTTGAGAGACGGCCTCACTCTAAGTTGCAGTGGGGCCAGGGATTTAGCTCGATGGCACAGCACCTGTCTAGCAATCATGAGGTCCTGAGTTGGAAACTCAATTCCTGGTATGGAAACAAACAAACAAAAAAAGCTGACCTTGAACTTGTTGCTTACAGCCCAAGGTGGCTTCCATCTCACAAGTCCCCTACTTGGGCTTCGATGACAGACATGTGCTACCATGCCCCACTAACAATACTGATTCCAATAAACGAATTAAGTGTAAAATTGGCTCCACTTAAAAACTCAGCTAAGTATGGTGACCTATGCCTATAATCCTAGCAGCTGGGAGCTTGAGGCACAAGGCTGTAGATTCAAGGCAGTTCCTCCCAACTGCTGGGATTAGAGGCACACACCAGGCCTGACTAAAATTCACATATATTATTTTTGGATTTAAAAAATCTTTCTATGAGATATAATTTTGTCCTTTGTTTTTGTCTTTTTTTATTTTTATTTTTTGGCACAACCTGGGATTGAACTCAGGCCCTTGCGCTTGCCAGGCAAGCACTTACTCTACTGAACTACCTCCCCAGTCCCTGTTTTCATCTTTTTGAAAAAGAGTCTCCCTATGCAGTTCAGGCTGGCCTTGAGCTCACTTTGTAGCCCAGGCTGGTCTCAAACTTGAAATGATCCTCCTGCCTCAGCCTCCTGAGTGCTGGGATTACAGGTGTGCACCACCATGCCCAGCAATGTAAGTATCATTTTTGATGTATCCATTTTATCTAAATCAAACTATACTATGACTAAAGGTCATTCAGTTTTTCTTTAGAAAGGCCCTTAGGAAGAAGAAAACGTGGTATTGCAAAATTTAATTTCCCAGTTTAAGAAGCAATAAAATAGGGGCCAGGGAGATGGCTCAATGGAATAAGAGCTTCTCCGGCAAGTGCAAGGGCCTGAGTTCAATCCCTGGCTCTGCCAAAAAAAAAAAAAAAAAAAAAAAGAATATAAAAAGCAATAAAATAAACCACGTTAGAAATCTACTTACACTTTCATCATCATCTTCTGCTACAGAGATCTGGGCAATATGTTTTTTGGGAATCACCAGAAAATGAGTCGGTGCCTGGGGGGAGATGTCGTGGAAGGCAAGGCACTAGAGGGGAAAACACAAAATCAAAGGGTTAGTTTTCAGCTGCAGGCTCAACGTACTCTTTCATGTAGTGTTCTCTGAGCACCAACGGTGCAGGCGGCATAGGACTAGATGCTAAACCACAGAGTGTACAAAATGCACGGGGCCCACCACCCTTTTCATGGACTTAAGAGTCTCATGGGAAGACTGACTTTAAATAAATAGATGTGACTGCTAAAAGGATGACACAGACGAGTATCACGGAAGGGACTCAAGGGCCCCTCACTCTTCAATCTCAACTTTTATTTATTTATTTTTTGCGGAACTGGGGATGGAACTCAGACCCTTGCGCTTGCCAGGAAAGTGCTTATTCTACTGAGCCATCTCCCCGGCCCCCCAACATTTTAAAATTTTTATTTATTTGTTTTTGGTGGCCTCAGGACAGGTCTGGTTTGGCTTGAGGATAACATTTACTTTTTTAAAAAAATCTTTTATTTATTTGGCACAGGGTCTCGCTAAGCAGCTTGGAGTCATTGTGATTCTCCTGTCTCAGCCTCCCCAGCGCTGGGATCACAGACAGGGGCCACCACCAGGACATGAGCTATCTTCCTAGCCCCATGTCCGACTTTTGTCTAACATCAAATGCTACTCAGTCCTCAACTTGAAATGCTAATTCTTCCCTTCATCTTCATCCATCTTCCCAGCACAGATGGAATTTCTGAAGAAACCGGAATCCCTTTCCCAGGCCAGAGGCCTGATTGTGCAATTTCCTGGTTTTTTTTTTTTTTTTTTCCTTTGCAGGTAGGATCACTTTTGTAAGCACATGCGAGTATTTGATATCTGATTAAGACTCATTTCCCCACTTTCCTCAACTCCTTTAGGAACAGATCTGTTTTCTTTTGGAGAGCCGACCACCGCAAGCTGCGTCCGGACACTGACCTGGCGCAGCAGAAGGCTCCGCACGCAGCCTACACGAATGCTGCGCCTCCCGCTCCGCACGGCGGCGGGACGCTACTTGGTGGAAACCATCCATGTGCGTTTCTCCACACTGCCTACAAAGGGCTGTGTCATTTAGACTGCTTCGAGCTGTTACTGAGAGGTTCAGAGGTCACTATTCCATTGATCGTTTATAAAAAGCAACTGCAATTCAATGGAAAACAAATCAGGTGTATAAGAAGTGTTTCAGAAGTAAA